ATGTAATACTTATATTATAGCAACAGTTTTTAATAATTAAGTTAAGATATTTGTAATAATAATTACATTAGTATGACTAGCAAGTTATGAAACATTTGTGTAAGTATAGTATTATACAGAAAAATGCAAACTAACATTAGGCAGTACAAACTTTAAATAAGTCTTGTAACTATATAAATTTATTAAATTAAAAAACAAAAAGTTATTTGAAAAGACCTGAATAAAAAAATAGCATAGAGTTTTAATAGTGCTATTGTAAAACTAGATTTAGAAAACAGATACAAATATTAAAGTACTCAGATAAGCAAAAACCTTTGAATAGAGATATCACCAATTAGATTACTAGAATAAACTAAAGGAAAAGAAGATCAGGCTAATCTAATATATTAATAAATTAGTTATAATTCTATTAGACTATTTGAATTAGGAGTCTGAAGAACAAGCAAAAATATACTAATTATTAAAAATATGTTGTAAAGTAGATATTAAAGTTTAAGTAAACTTTACAAGAGCATAATAGTTTAATAACTAGCTCTAACTGCAAATATTGATTCTATTATAGCAATATTTAGATTATTTATAAAAATAAATACAAAAGACTTTAAGAAATCTATCTTAAAGATAAAATAGTCCATAAGTTAAAATAATAATCTGAGCATGACTTAGTAATATTAATACAAATTCAGGTTCAGAAGGTTTAAAATAAATATTCAAGCAGTAATATTAGATATAGCAATTAGTAAAGAACCTTTAGGCAAACTCTTTAAATAGGTAATATAAAAAGTTATATATATAGTCAATTGTATACTCTTCTATAGTAGTTTATAGAATTATATTACAAAAAATTTATTAATAAAAGTTAAAAGACAAAAGATTATTTTTAAAAAAATATATATATATATTTTATAAAGTATAAATATAAGGATATGCTAGTTTACTAATATATATTAAATATTAAAATTTTAAATTTATATAAAATTTAATATATTATAATATAAAAATAAACTAGTTTAGTAAAAATTTCTTTTATAAATTTGTTGTTAGTTTTTTTTTTTTTTAAGTTAAAGTTTCTGTCTTTAGAAGTTGATGTTTTTATTTAAGTTCTTTTAAACATGAATGCTTCTAAAAGCATTTATATATAAAAGGTTATAACTATCTACATATGCATTTTTAGTACTCAATTTAAGTAGTTTGTCTATATATTACTATAAAGATTCTATACTAAATATCATATCTGTAAGTCAACTACAGATCTTATCTATTTAAACTTTTTGTATATGTAATTCTAATTTGTATTATAGTAATATTTTTAAAACTATATTTATTCAAGATATCTGATATTTTCAAAGCTCTTAAAACTACTTTATTTTTAATAAAAAACTTATTAGAACCTTTTATGTTTCACATATAACTAACTTAGTTTTATACAACACAATATAGTTTTTTAATATTTGTAATTACAAAAGTTATCTGTTTAACTATTATATTATACTATTTTTATTTTTGTAAAATTTACTAGAACTCTAATACTTATCTTTCTAACATTTTTTTATTATTTTTTGTTAACTGTTACATAAAACTAACAGGATTTTTAATTCAGATAGCCTGATATAGTATATCTTAGTATTTTTTTCTTTTGGCAAATCTGATAGCCTAATTATAGTCTAATATGATATACCTTAGTATTCTTTTTTTCTAATAAATCTGATAGCCTAGTTGGTTATATGCTTTTCTATACAATCTTATCATCCAGTTATCTGTCTGTTCTTTTAAAAATATTTTATAAGGTTTTATTAGTCTAACAGTACTGTCAAAAGTTTATGCTACTTTTTTACTTAAGAATTTTCAAGTAGGTTTTCAATTTTTTAGTTCTTTTACTTTTTATGCTTAATATTCTTATTATAGAGTTACTTATAAAAAATATTAATAAATTAAAAATTTAAATATTAAAAATAAAATAGAAATAATTCTAATAATTCTAAATTAAAAATTAAAAAATTAGTAGAAATTAGTTTATATAAAATAATTTTATTAAGAAAAAAAAATTAATTAACTATTGCAATATAAGTTGAGATAAAAAAAAATATAAGTTGAGATAAAAAAAAAATTTTATTAAGTTTATAAAAAAATTATAGAAGAAAGATTAAAATTAACTAAGTAATATAAGGTAAGAACTGTAAACTAATATGATGTTACTGAAGTTAGTATAATTTCTTAAATATAATTAAAATTATTTTGCAAATATTATTAAATAAGCTAAAAGCTTATAATATATAGTAATATAATATTACTAAGTTCAAAAAACTTTTTTAAATATAATTAGAATTGTTTTATTTATAAATGTAACAAGCTTTAGTTTCTATTATAGAAAAAAGTATTTTGTTAAAAATAAATGCAATATTAAGTTATTGTATAATATTAAAACCTAAAACATTTATAAAAATAATGATAACAGATCTGATTTAAAATATAGTTTAGTTAAAAAATTAATAATAATAACAAATTTAACTTAAGATATATGTTTATTGTAAATTTTAAACTATTATTAAAAAACTTTAAAAAATCTAAGACATATCAAAGATATAAGATTATAAAAATTAAATATACTTAAGTATAATTAATTTGAAAGTAATATAGTAACAAAAGATAAAAAAAATATAAAAAACAAGATAGTATTAAATAAAATTAAATTAGAAGGTTAAAAAAAAAACCAGATATAACATGTAAGCAGAATATATAAATACAATTATAAAAGACAATATTCTTAATACTAAAATACTATATTAAGTTTAGAGATATTCTTGCCTATATAGTAGTTTAATAACATGCCTTAACTGCAAGTAGTTATTATGTAACTGTATTGCAAACATGCAGCAAACATAAATTTAGATGTTATATAAGTAACTAAATAAAGTTAGTTTAGTAAAAATAGAATAGTTAATATAGTAATAATATTAATTAATTTTGTAAAACATATATAAATACAAGTTGTACTATAAAAATTTAGAAATTTAATAAAAAAAACTGGCAGAGTTGTAGTAAATTATTAAAAAAATATAAATTTTAAAAAATTTTATTACAAAATTTTATTAAAATAAAATTTGATTCTTAAATAAAAAATATTTCTATATTAATTTTAAATCAAGTTTAAAATTTTTTGTAAAAAAATATAACTTATATATTTTAAATTTATATTAATTTCTAATTTTTACTATATATTAGCAATATATCGATTACTATTTACTACTATATTACTACAAGTTTACAAATAATTATAAGATTGATCCCAATATAAGATTAATTAAAATTTTTAATGGTTATTAATTATTAGCAAACTTTAAATACTAATTGACCTCACATTGGACCAACCTCATTTTGGTCTTTTACAATAATTATTAACAAAATTGTAGCAAAATATAATAAAATAGTAGGTTTACAATTTTTTTAATGAGATTATTATAGTAAAATAGTAGTAACATAGTAGTAAGTAGTAATGACGTGTTGCTAATTTATAATAAATGTAAAACTATAGTTACGATAAAGGAACAATATAGTTTACTTTATAATTACTTTATACGTAGCTAATTACAGATAGAGTTTCAAATGTGCAAGTTTCAGTAGTGTTTTGCAACAAAAAAAAAAAAATTCAGAACAGATTTAGATATTATTGATGGATATAAATATAATACTTCACAAAGGATACGTATTAGAGCTAAAACTGTATATATATTAATGGAAAATACACTACTGGTAACAGGATCTATTTACGCCTATCGCCAGTAGCAGGTTTTCCAAAACTATCAATTCAAATCCGGTTTATGCAGTAAGTTTGAAAAGCTGCTACTGGCTACGGGTACATGTGAGAAACAAGCAGTGCCTGCTGATGGTACGTAGTGTATTTTCCATATTAACTATATGTACAGTTTTGGTTTGAATATCTTTGTAAAATGCCATTTTTATATCTATTAAAATACCAAATACATTCAGATCTTTTTTGTAGAATGCTAACTATAACCTTGTTTGACCTAGACCCTCACCTTAATACTAAAAAAAAAAAAAAAACCACTATACTAACTCTTTTACAATGTCGTTCAACCTCCCGATGGACATTTTTTCAACAGACCAATTAGTAAATTCTCTCACTGTGATGTCGGTTAAATAGCCTATCGGGGAAATAACAATCGGGAAATTTATGTGTACTTTTTTTAAATAGATGAAATTTAAATAAATTTCTTTCTACGTATAAGCCTACGTAGAGAACTATTACCCGAGTCGAATCCGGTCTAAACTTCTTGATCCGGGTTATGACCCGGCTAAAATCAACAGTATTAATCATGTATGTCGTGCTTGATCGTCTTGCACACATTAATTTAGTAATTTAGGCAGGAGTAACTTCAGATGCAATTTCAGGCACGACAATTACAGTGAATCGGCATATGAAAAAACCCCCTTTATACATAATAGATCCATCCGCCTTATCCGCCTTGGTCTATATCTAGGGGGCTAAGAATTTAATAGAATGCAAAAGACCCGAGGCTACTGACTGATAATATAAAAGCAGAAATACACACTTTCTATCAATTTATTCCCAAGCATAATATACTACGTATACAGAAACCCGAATATCTTAATACATAGTAACTATGTGGTAACTATATAGTTACTATTACGTTTATACAGTTTCTATATAGATAGTTACAATGCAGTTACGTTTCTGTAAAGTAGGGCTTGATGGAATGTAACATTACCCGGGTAATAAATGAGAAGTTTAACTAACCTGTTTCAGGAATACAGTACAGAAGAAAATTACAAATATTTAGGCAATTTTTTTTTAAACATATCACAAATATTTACGTAAATCCAAACTTTTATAGGATTCAGGATTTTTATTTGATGATGAAACGTAACCTGGCAGCCTGGCAATTGGTTGCAAAAAAATATCCGCTCTACGATACCAATTAAATTACAAGATTACCAAGTAACACAATCCAAAGTTAGAAATGGAGCTTTTAAAAAAGTTATTTGGTAACTATTTCCTTATATTACTTGTATTAGAAGTTTTTAGAGAACAGGTTTTTTTAGCATAATGACAAAGCTAAATATTAACAAATATGGAGACGAGAATCTTAACGTTAATGTAAAATTTAGCCAGTTAACACATTCCAGTTTTCGTTTAAATTATAAATCTAAGTTGGCTAAAAATTATCGAAAATTAATTAAATATTTGCAATTTTTTCCAAATTAAATATTTATAAAAAATCAATATTTGTGAATCTATTTATGAAATTTATTTGTGAATCCGTATTGTGAAATCAAATCTTTGTGAATAACCAAAATGGTTTTTCCGTGTCTATGACCAATCTGACTCGGGTCAGGATAACCTAACTCGGATAAAAGCTCTAAAGTTCCAAATAAAACAATAAAAAAATTAACGTCAAATAAAGAATAAATTCTGTTATGTAGATATTATACGTTGTTATATCCCTATTATAATTTTATTTATTTATTTTTTTTTAAAAAATGATCTATCAGTCAAATAGCTATTTTATTTTTAACCACGATTATTTAAAAACTTTATAAAATAAAAGGTTTAAATTAATGGTATTTTAACGTTAACCAATTAGCAGTAATTCTAATAGATTGCTATAGATGTACGTACATAATCTTTTTAATAGAATTGGACGTATTAAAAAGCTCAGTCCACAATTGTAATATGATTCGAATTATATATTATATATACACAATTTCCGTTAAGCCTTTTTTAAGACGATCTTTGTAATAGAACACTGCATGTTCGCTTGTTTAATTTATTGGATATTAATGGACCTATGTAAATAATTAAATCCAAATAAAAAAAATTTCGAGTGCTGCCAAGGAAAAAACCTGGAATTCTTAATTTTCGGAAACTCCGCTTTTAAAAACCGACAACATTAAATTTTTATAAGCTGTTCTGAAAATAAAATTTGGAAACTAACAATTCCAGGGTTTCCTTGGCAGCACTCATTCAATAATTTTTTTTTAAAAAAAAAAATTTAAAAAAAATGAGTGCCAAATTAAGAACGGTTTAACAATGAACTGGTGTAATTTAGTAACAAATATAATATAAATAATGACATAATTATGGTATATAATCAATATTTATTTAGTAACACAATTTTAGATCGTGAACATTTTCTTATCATACAAGATGTTGCGTTATGCCACGGCAAAATATATAACAAATGGGAAAGTTATTAACCAAAATAAGTAATCTGCAATGAAACTAAATTTCAAATAGTAATTATGAATTAAATAACTCTGCTTCGCGCTGCAGAACAATCTCCTAAATGCAAATGATTCACAGAATGCTTTACTCCATGCTATTTTACACATATAACCTTTGTTCCCCATGAACATCTTTACTTTATATGGAATTGTATGCGTCGTAGAGTCAAATAATAATTTATTTGATCTTTTTTTTTTTTGCTAATTAAAGACATATTTAAGGATACGTAACGCATTGGCACCAGTATTACAACTAATTTTAATTCATTAATAATTTTATTATTTGTCAATGTTAACTTTAATATAATAGGTTTGTTTGAAAAAATGACAAATTAAGATTATCATTTTGTAAACAGTTTGCAGAATATGTAACAGTAATATAAGATTATATTATTAACCAGTAGAAAGAAATTTGACCTAATAAAAGTGTTATTCTTTAAACGCATTCGAATTTTAAGTTACGTCACAAAAGAAGATAATTTCATAAATACCTGTATTTATACAAATACATTGACAGTGTTTTCATGAAAATATCATGACATCGAAAGTTACGATCAAAGCGGTTAGTGAGGTTCGATAATAAAACAGTTATGTTCGAATATAATAACTCAAAGTCGAATTTGGATCTGATATTGCATGATCATATTTGAATATGTGCAGTAACGGAGTAAACGTAAGAGTCTCAAAGTAGATAACGATATTATTATCATTTGCCACGAAGGCTAACAAGTAAATTCTAGACGTTTTATGGCTTTATTACCATAAAAGTAATTGTATTCAGAAAACAAAAACTCGGCATTGATTTATTGTATAATTACATCTACTAAAAATAGTTTCAAATTCAGCCCACACAAAACTATTATACGTACAGTATTTTACTCAAATCTTAACCAAATAGTTATACATGCGTTTACATATAACATTTCTTGACAGTTATGAATTCATTTTATGTAATACATGAAACAAGTCATCCACGTGCTTCTTATATTTGAGATTCGCCCAATTACTATCTCTACGCATGTAACTACCATATACGGTTAAAATAATTTTCTCATTCTTTTAAATATAAATATCTCGACTGCCCCGCTCCTAGACCTTAAAAAAAAAAAAATAAGTCTTTTCATCTTGTTCGTTTCTTTTATTCATTTTCCACAGGAACGAATAACTAAGACCAAAACAACATAACTTGACAATAATCAATCATGTCACGATTCATTTATTTCCTCACTCTATTCTTGGTTTTTACTTTGTCTACTTTAGCCCGTAAGTTATTAATTTTTCTTTTTGCTTGTTAGTTAAAGCGAGTTTGATTATAAATTAAAATAGGGTTGTTATTCGGCTTACCTAGCTTTTGTATATTAAACTATTGCTTGATTAAAAAATTTCATGAATAATGAATAATATAGTATAATCATAAAAAAAAAAAAAAAGACCAAAGTCATAAAAGGCGAAAATTAATTCTAATTAAATAAATTAAATTAACACTATACTTGTCTTTTCAGAGACCCCATCGCCGACGCCGGCGGGTACAATAGTTAACACGCCTCCTGGTAATCTTGCACAGGGTGCCACTACTGTACTCACTTGGCAGTATACGGCTTCTCCACAACAGAATGCGACTGTGGCCACTTTACGAGTTATCAATAACTCAACTGGAAACACGACCCCAATTAGCAATAGTCTAAACCTTGCTGATCAAAAACTCTCATGGACGGTCAATGTTCCCCCTGGCACTTATTATTTGGCTCTCAACGACGGAACTGGTGATAAGTACTCTGGATTTTTCACCGTCGTTGCAGGTACTACCGCACCTGGTGCTTCTGGTAGCGTTCCAGCACCAGCTCCAGCTGCCACTAACGCTCCCGCTCCCGCTCCCGCTTCATCTTCTCAACCTCAACCTCAACCTCAACCATCTGCTAAATCCCCTGCCACTCAAAGTACACCTTCGTCAGTTGCACCACCCGCGTAAGTGTTTTACAATTTATATACACAAGATTTTAAAGCATCTAAATAATCAATTTTAACCATGTTATATTTTCTTTTTTTTAGTGGTAAATCATCAAACGCACCTTCAGCATCGGCCAATACTGCCGCAAGTTTCACTGGATCAAGCGTTTCTGGATACAAACTTCTGTTTAGTCTTATGGTAGTAGCTGCAGTAATGGTGCATTTTGCTTAAAAAATTTATCAATACTAGAAATACTAGAATTAGAAAACCCCGCTAATTTGAAAATTTTATCCAGTTACATTTTCTACTTGCCGAATGATAAAATCCTTAAAATGTGAATGTATTAAAGAATAGTGTTACAATATACGCTTATATAATATAATATAATTATTAGAATTTAATGCTTGGGAATAAATGCCACTTTTTTTCCAATTAATTATTAAATTGTGATAAAGCATATATATCATCTCATGTAAAATAGAATGTAATTTGTTCATTCATATCTACAAAGATTTCTTGTTAACCACACATAAATCGATTAAATATTGTTTGTACGTATGTACGTGCGTTTTTAGCGCGATAGGGGCCTGCAGGATTGTTAATAAAATGATGAATTAGAGTTACATTACTTGCAACATATACTTATCCAATTAATGTCTATTGCTTATCGCCTCCTAAATTTTTAACAATTGTACGAAAAAGGTGAAATGGCTTCCGGAGTAGATATGCAGTAAAAACCGTTACGGCTTATGCAGTAAAAACCGTTACGGCTTATGCCGTAACTAATTAACGCTTATGTTGTAACTGGTTACGGCATAAGCCGTAAATATTTCTATTGCATCTCTATTCCGGAGTATACACTAAAACCATCGAAATTATTTTAGTTTTCAATCGATTTACCTTGATTATAGGATTAAGGTTATTAGATCGAATCATAATTATAATGGGATACTTTATTATTAGTGTTGAACTTTAAGTTGATCTTTTATTGAAGCATCAGCCTCTCATATGTATGCATTACTATATCTATCTATTTTTACTATTCTATACAAACTGTAGATCTAATCTAAATGTGAAAAATAAAACTACTATACTGAAACCTGAATATCATAATGCGCAGTAACTACATAGTAACTATGTGGTAACTACATAGTTACTATTAGTGGTAACTACATAGAAAGCTTAATAGTAATTATATAATTACTATTGATCTTAATAGTAACTATATAGTTACTATCCAAGTTTCTGTAAACTTTAAAAAGTCAGAAATAACAGTAAACCAAAATTAAAGAGCCAAATTCGTAAGCCATATAACGGTAAGATCGTCCAGAATCTGTAACTAACCTAACACTATTATATTACTTATATTACTATAGATATCTTTATTGCTAATCTACACAATCGGTTAGTTGATGTCAAGAGAATTAGTATATTCAAGTTGGTATTTGCTTTTTTTATTTACATGTTATAAGTCCGTACCCCTATTTAATCCACTATTATATACTAGAGAAATATCGGGAACGATGCCAAACTAATTATAACACAATAGGGTGAAACTCGCGTCAGAAGTAGTTACGTTATTGACCTAATTAGTAATTAACTCTATAATTAAATATAGATCTATATCAAAAAAGTAACCTAATTAGTATTTAACTTTATAATTAAATATAGATCTGTATCAAAAAAAGTAACCTAAATATGTGTGTTTCACAATTTTCGTATTCACATTGATAATCAACTCACGTTTCACCCTAACCCTGTTATAAAGTTAACGGAATACGTAGCAGATAATGGGAAATAAGATAGAGAAAGTTTCGTATAAAATTGTTATTGTTAACCGGTCTTCATTTAGCAGAGATAGGTTCCGTTTATTTGTTTCATATTTAAAATTTAACAAATTTAACGGATATGTCGTATTTGAAGTTGCCACTTTAGATATACCTGACCTAACTAGAATTAAGCCCCTGAAATTAGATCTTCGTGTATGTAATTCTAATCAGGTACTACTTTAGATATCTAGAGTGGTAACTTCAAATAAATGCCAACTTTAAATAAGACAGATATTCGGATACCAGATTTATTTGTTTGCAATTTTATTATCAGATTAAAAATGGAAAGAACTAGTGAATATCCTTATAATAGCTGATAGTGTAGTTGTCGGCGAAATCACGGCAGAAATGGTTACCGTCTCTGTCGCGGTTTCATCCTTATAAAGAATATATAATCAATTAATATGTAACATTGAAATTGGTTCTTCATTTCATAGTATGAATCAAAATAAATTAGTACGAGTTTCAAAAGGTTTCGCTCGAGGTAAATCTTCAAATTTTCACCTTGACAATGGTGATCCCAAGATACATATCAATATCTACGACCGTGATCGAATGGCAAAAAAAAAATAAGGTGGTACTAAGAAAATGAAATAAGATGATGCTAAGAAAATAAAACAAGATGGTGTTAAGAAAATAAAATAAAATGGTGCTAAGAAAATAGATGGCATCATAAAAAAAAAATAAATAGATATAATTAATACTTTAATCTAAAAGTTGGCATTACTAACCTAAAAAGTGAAGTGATAGAATTTGTAGTCGCGTAAGTTCTGAACACAATAAAAATAATAACACCAAAAATAGGTAGGCTACAACAAGGGCTGTGCGAAGAAATGCGAAAATTCTGAGTAGATTCTTGCGGCCTTCGAATTCACACGAAAAAATAATGTAGAGAAACATAGTTATAGTTAGTACTGTATATGCAAAATAATAAAAAAAGGAACCTTTAATGAGATCATCCTTTTACCTTCAATCCATTCTTGAAATTCGTAGAGAAAAAGATAAGACAGGAGATAATGGAAGATTATAAAAGCAACCTGCCATAAATATTCTCTTATCGTTTTATCTCGTATTCCGATGTTGGCTTGTTTTTTTTTTCTTAATCTTTCATTGGTTACAAGAATTCTCCGGTTTGGCGACTGTCGTAATCATTGGTAACTAATCATCTAATGAATTTTACTTCAAAAAAAAATTTCTTAATACTCAATATCGATATTAATTAAAAATATATCGATAATCGTAACCAGGGTCACTATAGAGATGCAGATATATGACATCATTTAAAAGCGTGATTGAGCAGTAATAAGTCTGCATCTATAGGGCTACCTGATTACTATAACAAATAACTAATTTGTGTTTGATTATTTATTTAATTTACGCACGATAATGAACATGCGAGGTTAGCGTTGCATATTTTGGGTGTCCAGGTCTTCGGGTTGTCCAGTGGACATTCCGACAAATGTCCATACTCTTGCTAATTAAATCTATTCTAAAAATAATATGCGTCATTGCCGTTATAAAATCACGAATCTACTTAAATTCCGTATATATTTATCAACTTTAATTAATCATTATCAAAAATTGCATGTGTTCACTGAGTAACAACACTGTCAAGATCATTAATTAACATCTCAATGAGACTGGTAGAATGTTTTTTTGTCCGCTCTGCATTGATAATTAATTTATTATAAACGGATATAAAAATATTTATAATAAATGAATTATGGTACACAATCACTTTATTTCATAAACAATTAATTCATAAATAAGTTTATTTACAGACAAGATCATTTTATATTACGGTTTATTTTCAAATAGCTTACTTTACATTAGGGATTGGAACGCCTAAAAATTTTCTTAATCGTTTAACCGTTTAACCGTTTAATTTGGCCGGCATTAAAATAATTCCGGCCCACGACCAACATAACTCTGCCCGGAACTATGGTACAATTTTTAAACGCCTACTTTACATACAATTTTATTTATCAATTTCCCTAACCTTAATATATAATCTTAATCCCAATATTAATAACAATATCTTGTAATTACTTTGTACAGTAGGTGAAATAAGTTGGTGAAACAAACCCTATAAAAGATACGATCTGTGAAATCAACTATGAAATATAAACTTACCTGTAAATTAATTATCCATAAAATAAACTTTTCTATGAATTAATTGTCTATTTAATAAGAAGCTGATCATGAGTAAAATGTTATTAGTTTTTTTTCATACCGAATCTTCTATACATGATCGATATAATGAATTCACATTATAACGATAAAGATCCAAAATAGCATAATCTATATATCAAAAGTGATTGTAAATGTAAAACAATGATCAGTTTTGTTTTGCCACGGTATTTAGTGAGTTACTCGAATGACGTTATGTTAACCCGATTCGTCAAAAACATATAATTTGCGTTTTTGTTTTTTTTGCCTAATTATAAAAAAAATTAGATGAAATGTCGCGAATGAAATTGCCTTCTACATTATGTTTCCTAAAGTCATACTGAGTAGTAACTTCGAGCAATTGACATCAGACTTCAGCCTTCAGGTAGCTAAACCAGTTAAACTCAAATGTCATCCAAGTTATGAAGCTGACTACTGTACAACAGTTTTAATTAAATAACTACACGGCTCACATGTATAGTTGGAATATTGAATTGAGAACTTACAAAAACCTGATCAGATCTGAGTTACTGAACTAAAACATATGAAGGGAGGTCAATAGAAAACAGGCAATTTGTTTCTAGTAACTTTTTTTTCGAAAACCAAAATCAAATACCTTATTTAACCAAATTGTGAAAGAAATTTTTATTTTAATTCTATAATTATATAGAATTAAAATAAAAAATTGTTGTCAAGTTTGGTTTAATAATTGTTGAGATATTTTAATTTGAAAACATTTTATATAGAAAAAATTTGCCTGTTTTCTATTGACCTTCCTCCATATCAAACTGATAAGTAAACGATAAGTATTTACGATTACTGATAACATCATTGTTAAATTCAAAGACTTCACAAAATCCCATACATATATAATTTAATTTTACATAAATAAAGTATTCGCATTGACTTTTGTAATAATTACTTCAGTACTTTATCCTCACTTATGATGGATGAGTAAATATATTTGCATTTGTATAATACGTTTTTAAATATCTAAATTGGTTTTTTTTCAATGCTATCAATCTTTAAAGTATATTGCATACGGCCTTTTTAGTCTTGATAATGTAATTATTATCACTATTGTCATCCATCTCAATGTTAACTTGTTTTTATTTCTTAGCTGGAATCTTCTTGGTTTGTCTTTCATCTTTCTTTTTCATAATTTCTTGATCTTCCGCTTCAATTTCATGATCAATACGTTGTTTAATACTTTCTTTTTCAATGGGCATTTTTAATTTAGGATCATGATTCGCAGAAGGATGAACATATTTATCGTGAAGTTCATGAGGTTGTTCTTTGTTTTTAACATTAGAATAACTTTGTGCGATATGAGATACATGGGATTTGGTATCACTGTGTGATTTCGACATTTTTTTAAAAGCTCGTTGAATATGTGAAATTATCTAATATTCTAATATGAATATTTATGATAAATGTTTACGACCAAGAAAGATTTTGGGGTTAAGGAAGCATACAACTTATATATCTTTTTTACTTATATATAATGATGTAATATTTTATATCATATTTACGTGCTGGCAAACTTGAATCATATACGTAATTCTGATTATAACATCCGTATAAATCAACTGGGTTATAAAAAAATGCTAAATACGAAATTCTTTTTTATACCAATTTATATATATTCTTTATACTATAATTAAACTTAGACGTTGAACATGAAAAAAAAACATTAGCCAAGATTTTTCTGGAATATTATAATTTTTCACTTAACCAATTAGCCAATTAAACTTAGTGAATATATTTTTATATTATTTTAATAATTAACTAATGAAACAACTTAAACACTTTGGCATGCGGCATGCCTATGATTATTATAAATGTCAGGTTCTTTCGACGAAATTGTTTTCTTCGTTACAATCTGATATGATCTACATACACAAACTTCTCTTTTAAGATTCGTATCACTTGCTAGTCTTAATCTGTTAAATCGCTTACTTTCTCTCGTACTTGATTCAAATGGATGCTACTTATGACACTCTCGCATTATACATCACACAAAAGATATCGTCAGTATATATCAAGTTAAATGTTTTTTTTATTTCGATTTTAATGCTTACAACCATTTTCGATAGAAGTCATTCGCCCCGTGACCGATTCCTTGTCGCTATTGCTGGAATACCGGGTTCAGGGAAATCCACATTAGCAAAAACTCTTGTTGAACGTGTAAATGAACTTATGGGGCAAAATATCTCCATAGTGGTACCAATGGATGGGTATCATTATCCCAAGAAAACGTTAGATACATTTCCAGTACGCACAAATTCTTGTATGCAAGTTATTTCAAATAATTGCCCTAATTAAATTTAATTCTGGCCATTACTGGAATAACTTTTATGTAAGGTATCTTGTGATAACATTTTAAATAAATCTTGATTCAACATTATGTGCAATTTTGATTAAATTATTAGGATCCTAAAGAAGCCTATGCTCGAAGAGGTGCATATTGGACATTTGATGTGCAAGGTTGGATTATATTAATTGGAGGTTTTATTTCCCAAATTTTGAATTAAACTAGTTTATTTTAATCGAATTTTTGTAAGGTCTTCTTACTTTGACGGAAGCTCTCCGAAGTCCTATTGATAGCAGTCAAACAATAACTGCACCATCATTCGATCATGGTAAAGGTGACCCTGTAGAAAATGATATTAAAATATTACAAAGGTTGTATATAATATATTTTGTTTGTATTGATTACTGTTAAAGTTTACTTGTTATTGTATTCTTGTTGCTTTGATCTAGTCATAAATTGGTGATAATGGAAGGGCTTTACCTCCACTTGAAAGAACCACCAGCTTGGAAATCAATTGCATCACACATGGACGAACTATGGTTTCTACATATAGATCGCGAAATTGCAAAAAAAAGAATTATCAAAAGGCATATTCAAAGTCATCTTGGTATGTTTTTTTTTTTTTTTTGATCAGTTTCAGGCTAATTTTCTTATTAATAAATCTTGAATAGATGAAACTGAAGAACAGGCAACTTTTAGAGTTGAAAATAATGATATGGTGAATGCTGATTATATTTTAGAAAACAGTTTGATACCAACTAGAATCGTGATTAGCGTTGAGGTTCCTAATCATGCTACTTGAAATATAGATTGTTAAATTGGTTATCTAATTAATATCTGTACAATTCGAAACATGTTCAATAGTTAAGATTACTAATATATATTTAGATATACTAAATATAATTTACTAAACGTCAAGACTTAGAAATTTATTAATTTACACTGGTGTATAAAACATGGATGTAATTTGTAAATTCATTTAATACAAAATTAAAAATAAAAATTAAAGTTAAATTAATTAGGTTTTAAGTTTTGATAAAAATGTAGTTTATACTGCAATTTGCAAGAAATATTTTTGTTAAATTTTTTTTAAAAAATAGATTTATAGGCAAAATTTTAAGTGTTTGGGGTTTATAAACTAGTATACAAATAAAATTTGTTTATTTTACTGGTTTATTAGGAAAACTAATATAGATATCTATTATCATCTAATTATATATATATGTATATCTTTAACGGGTCTGAGTCAAAATTCCGATAAAAAGAATCCCGAAAACAAAATCTCGCTAAAAATTGACCGGAACTACAGTTAATGCGGGCCAACTTGTCGGGATTATGATCCTACCGGAATTTTGACACAGACCCATCTTTGACCTATTCTAACTTATTTTCTTAATATATAGTATTTTTTTCTTGTACTAGTACTATGTTTTTAAGATTTATTTAATACAGTACATAGCATATAAATAAGTTGATTTTTTTAATATAGTCAGACCTCTCTATAGTCACACTCGTTATAAGCACATCATAAAAAAACCGCTTTGTAAACACATCTTAGCAAAAATCTTTCTATAAGCACTTAAATATTTATTTTAAAAGGTGTAAATATAGAAAGGTTTGATTATAATAGTGTTACAAATATAAAATTTTTTCAATTAATTAGTTGATTATTATTTTTTTCAATTGGTTGCAACTAATTGATTAATTGTTTAATCAACTGATTAATTAATTGATTAATCAACTAGTTGCAATTATTTATTAAGTAAATAAATAATTTTCAATTAATTTTTTGCAATTAATCTATGAGTTAATTAGTTGCAACTAATTGATTAGTTGATGTTTAAAAAGTTTGGTTGATTAGTTGTCAACTAATTAACTAATTAATTAACTGTTAACTAATCAACTAATTAATTAATTGTTAACTAATCAACTAATTAATTAATTTTTATTTTAATTTGTATTACTAGATTATAATTTAAATTTTTTAAAATATAGGTTAAGTAAATTTATAATAAAATTATAAATAAATTTGTTTATAATTAATTATTATTTAAGATATTAAAAAAAAATAGGTTTTCTAATTTTAGTAATTTTGTTATTATACTGTTTATTAGAATTTTATAATTTTATATAAAGAACTTTTAAGCTTAGATTAGTATTAATACATTGTAATTACTTTTATAAGCACTTATAAATATTATTTAAATAATAGTTAAAAAACCTTTCTTAAAATTATATTTAAAAACTTTTTCTGTTACTACTTTACAATAGAATATTATTAAATTTTTTTTTTTTGCTAAGACTGATATTAATAAGATTGACATCTTTATTGTATTTTTAATTATATATTATATATAACTTGTATAAGAATGAGTATACAATTAGCTACTTGTGCAACTTTTAGTTGCCTATTTAAGTAGTTTGCCTGAAGGTTTTATATTAACTATCATATTTGTAATCTGCTAAGAGATTACTTATTTAAACATTCTGATTTTATACTATATTAGACAAGTAATCTCAAAACTCTTGTATACTTAAATGCTATTTAACTCAATATATAGTCTTTCTTTTTTAGTATATCTGTCAAATTATTTATTTATTTTAGAGTACATTATTTGACAATAAGGTTTAAAATGCTTCTTTGTTAACTAACTACTTATATTTAGTTCTTGTTAACAGAGTTAACCCTTGTAAAGTTTACTTGTACCTTAGTACCTATTTTACAACATATCTCTAATACTTTTAGTATATTTTTGTTTTGTCTTTAAAGTTTTAATTTAAATAGTTTGAAAGAACTATAACTTATCTCAGGTATATTAAGTTTAATCTAATATTCTTTTTCTCTAATTTAATTTAGTAGTTTAGTTAGTAGTATCTCTTATCTAAAGATTTTTGTTTGCTTAGTTTCTCTACATTGGTATCTATTTCTTAGATTTAGTTTTTATAGTAATACTGTTAAAGATCTGTGTTATTTTTTTACTTAAGTTTTTTTAATTAGACTTTAGTTTTTTTCAGTTCTACAGATTTATATAGTTATAAGAACTTATTTTATGTTTGTATTATCTGATACTAATTTGTATTTTTCTATATAACCAAGATTATACAAATACTCTGTAACCTACTAATTATGCTAGTACAATCATAATTATAAGTATCTTATTCTAACTAATTAATAAAATGCTAATGTTATAATACTATTTATGTATTTTATAAGTAATTATTCAAATTTTTACTATCAGTAAGTTTTGAACTTACAACTTATTACTTAAAAGGTTGACAACTTATTCACTTTACTAAGTTATTATACCTTTAATATTATTAATTTAACAAAAAATTTTTATTAAAAAATAAAAAATAACTTATATAAAAAAATACAAAGATATAAAAATAATTATAAATATAAATAAAAAAAAAATAAAAAGATAAAAAAATTAAAATTAAAATGTATTAATATAAATAGTTTTTTTTTTTTTTTTTTAAATATTAAGGTGAGTACTTGCGACTCAGGATTTTATTGATAGTACATTCAGCTAATGGTTGC